ATGCCTGCCTCTTCTTCCAAAGCTCATAGACTTTCATCTTTTTTCTGAGATCCAGCCAAAGCTCTCTGTTCAGCCAGGCTGGTCTTCCCCACTGGCTCACCTCTCGGCATATGGGAATGGCCTGCTCCTGCACCTCCAGGATTTCCTTCTTGAAGACCATTCAGCTTTCTTGGGTTCCTTTGCCCTTCAGGACTGCCTTCCAAAGGACTCTATCAACCAGACTTCTGAACAGTCCAAAGACCAAGTGCCCTCCGGAAGTCCAAGGCGGCAGTTCTGCTGAGCCCCCTCCTTACTTATCCAAGAATCAAGAATTTTATCGTTTCACGGTCACTGTGCCTCAGGTGTCCTCCAATCATCACATCACCCACAAGGCCTTCTCTGTTCACAAACAACAGGTCCAGCGGGGCGCCTTCCCTAGTTGGTTCACTCACCAGTTGTGTCAGGAAGTTGTCTTCCACACACTCCAGGAACCTCCTAGGCTGTTTCCTTTCTGCTGTATTGTACTTCCAGCTGACAACTGGTAAGTTGAAGTCCCCCACAAGAACAAGGCGTTAAGGCTTTGGGAAACAAAGAATTTGGGTACAGAAATCACCATTTAAAATAGCCTAAAATTAAATAGCTGTCCATGTGTGTGCATGTATTACACACACATATGCACACACATAGGTGTATGTATATAAAGCCTTCAAATGAAATCAGTCAAACGTGGAACCTTATTACTACCTGTCAAGAGGTAGGAGAGAAGGAATGTGCTACACTGGTAGTTTACGAAAGAATAAAGACAAGTTATTTGTACTGGTGCAGAAAGGACTTGGAGAAATGAACATTGAATTATAACTCTAGAATGGAAATCAGTATAAAGTATCATTAAATAAGGTATATGCTTTTCAAATTTGGCTTACATGTCACTTTTCATAATCTGCTAGGCAGCGTGGGTGCTCGCTGGGCCCAGTCTTGCTATTTTTCCACTGCTGCAAATGATGCTCAGTACATTACAAAGACTTTGGTACTTTTCTGCACAGACTGTGAGTCATGCTTTTTTGGATCCAGCACGTATATGTATTTACTGTTTATTTTACATGAATGTATTAAACGGCCCAAAGTTTCAGGTCCCTCTTATCAAATGCAAATCTTGGCTAAGTCCATTGGAACTGAGTAAGTGCACATTGATTGGTGTTGTTGAGAATATCCTAAGCGCAAGAAGTGTCAAGGGAAGCCCTCTGGGACTTTCCATGTCAGAATATCTTGAAAAGAATGAGTGGGTTTTATTGCTTACCTAAAAACCTTTATAGGAGAAGGCCTGTTAGAGAGGCTGCATCAGACTGTGAATATAAACCAATGAAACCCTCTGTGTCAAGCTCAAGAAAGTCCATACTAATAGTAATTTAGGAAGGTCTGTGTGAACATGTGATCATGTGAGACCTGGGTAGATGCATCGGCCTATGTGCCATGTTTAGCCATAACTGGCAGGACTGGAGGGTAGCTTACGCCCCAGGAGCAGTAGTGCTCCCTGACAGAGAGTATTTCGGGGACAAAATGCAAACTGCCATAAATGTCAGAATCAGACACTTCACAATTCCAGCAGGTCCTGAAGCCTAAACCAGTTTGGTGGTTTGGCCTCGCTCGTGTTGTTTCTAACCATCAGTAGCAGACATGAAATCTCCCCCAAGGTCTACATGTCTGAAAGAACAGGGGCCCAGCTTCAGAGAAGAGCTCAACATAAAACACTTGACGGGTTTTTGCCGATACCAGAGTGGACTCCAGCATGTTGCTATAAATGCACTGTCATACTGGGAGCACCCGTGCATCAGCATGCCTGTGTTCTCAGGGCTCAGCCACGCTCCTTGGTCGTCTTCCCCTGGAAGGGAGCCAACACTGCAAGCTGCCAGTGCTGCTTTCTTCCCCAGCCAGACAGAAGAGCTGGTAATGGTCCCACTTCAGGGATAAATTCACTTGCAACCCTCCCTGCTGCTCCAAGGCAATCAGCAGAGGAGGAAGACAAAAGGGCGGAGTGAAATGAAGGTGCTTTGAAATAAAATCAGTCCCCTGCCTCTGTGCTTGTTTCATACTTTGGATCTGCCGACTGGCAATCCCCTTCCTTTACATCAGTGCTAGACAGAAGAGACTATGGCCAGTGAACTCGGGGAATAAAGCGTTTCTGATTCTCTTCTTCACGGGCTGTCATTGTCACATCAGTGTTAAGGAGCAGTTGAAAAGGCTGTGGCGTCTTAACCG